ATGCTCAGTGGGTTTCCCTGACTAGATAAAAGCTTTGCAAGTTCGAACCGTGTTTCATTTCAAGAAAATAAAATGAATGCCATCTAGCTATCCACAATCTATAATGGTTGTCTGATGATGAATCTCTTGAAATAAAAGTCTGTTGTTTTTACTTTTGTTTCAACGTTTATTTAAATATATTTTATATATCATTATAAAGGTTTTCTTTTTTATTGTTCCAGCTTACATTTTTTGACTTTTTCGAAGCTCTTATTCATTGTACGCTGATTTTAATGTTAGAAAAAAATGAACCACAGGTAGATTCTGTTGACAACAAAATAAAAACTATTAAGTCAGATTTAACTATTAAACGTAAGTTTTTACTTTCATGTTTTCTTTTATGGAATGAATACCAGTCCTTACCTAATTGTGTGTGCATAGATGAGCATACTGATAGGTAGTTCATTCTGTTTAATCTTATCGCTGTGAAACGTAGTTTTTAAAAACAGAAGACACTCGTGAGTTACTAATATACAACTATATATGTCTTCAATATATTACTCGCGTATGTTTGAACTATCAAGTGAACAATACTGAGGTTAGACCCAGAATTCTGAATAAAGAATGAAAATGGGTTGATGCGACAAAATCTACATAAACTAAGGTTTTTTGGGAATTTTTTTATTTATGGTCGATCAACACTTACCATCATGTTCGACATTTCCTAAATTATGGGTAAGTTGTAAGAAAGATAAGATTGGTCAAACCTAAGCATACTATTAATTCGTAGAATCATTGCCTATTGAATTTTGTCGTGTTGATAATTTCAGACTACTTGATTTTATTCCTTATCATTATCATAAACAATGGTTGTAGATTATGGGTGTAGTGGGTCAGTATCAATCTCAATACAATACGTGCATTCACTCTTTTTGGACTTCTTCTAGATCTTGGATTTTAAAATTATATGATACTTTTCTATTGTACAAATTAATTCCTTCTCGAATCAGATTGCATATACCCAATCTTTCTCTTACTGTGAGATTTGTCTCGATAACCTTATATTGCTGTGCTGGTCTAGTGTGATATTGTGAACCAGAGTACAAAGGTGCCCGGTTCTAAGTTGTTTATGACCGATAGAGTTAGTGATACTAAAACATTTGCTCAACACTAGATATATAATTCAAGTAACACAAATCCTAAAATCATTCATTACTTTTGATGAACTAGTTTCATGGAAACATTGACAACAGAATAAACATGATGATTTCTTTATTTAGTTTAGTTCATTCTGTTTTATTCATCATACTGTACTATGAAATATTCCCATTCATTCATATCTCAGTAAATCGAAGATTATCACGTAGACCAAGTACATCAAGGCAATTAAAAAGTAATACTGGCAAAAAACAAAAAGAAAAGAAAAGCAAAACAAAACGAGGTGCAGAAAATCGAAAAATCAGTATATCACCGGAAGTAAGCTTATAATAATAATAATAATAATAATAATAATAATAATAATAATAATAATGGTAGTAATAATAATAATAGTAATAATAATGGCAGTAATGGTAGTAATAATAATAACGGCAGTAATAATAATAGTGATAATAGTAATAGCAATAATAATAATAATCATGGTAGTAGTAGTAATAATGGTAATAATAGCAGCCCTATTCAGTAAGATAAATTTGTCGGGGTGATCCACAGTATTCCTCAAAAATGCCTAGAGTGGTCATGAAAACGCTGGAAAACATTCTATCCAATCAACAGTGAACAGAAGTGTCCCAGAAACTTCTAGGAAATGAAGAGTGATGTGTCACGTTTGCGATTGACTGAAGACCTGTCCTGCCACCATGTTTAGTAGGGTTCAAGAACATTCCAGAAGCCCAAGGCCATCTGAAATGCTATAAATACCCTCGACTTTCTGTATATAGACCAACCTTGGAGTAAAGCGTTCTTTCCACATTTCGCGCCTTTTCACTCGTGTTCACGTAGTCATGTAGATTAACATGGGGTTACTAGAGGACCTTAGGAAACCGATTCAAGCGTTCAATTAAAAGCTGTATCAAAATTTTGTCACAGTAAAGAGATCTCAGCACTAATTACTGAATATTACAACAAACATACCTATACCATGAATTGAAATTGTAATTATTCGAAATATATCTTTTTTTCAATTGTCAGTATCCGACATCTGTATTTATTCATTAGACTTTTCTACTGATACAACTGTTATAACTAATTTTTCCCATTCATCATATATAAAGTGCTTGAAACGCAAAGTAGTTTTGTTTCTCGTTTTGTCAAATAGTCAATAAAATGGGTACCTCGCCAAGAACCGTTCTGTTTTTGTTCGAATTTTCCAGTATTTGATTTATTAATAATAATTTGTAACCCTGTTGTAATAATATCTGAGTTTGTAGCGGCTGGTACTATGTCAAGCCCAAATAGGTTATTCTAGCTCATGGACAGACCAAATTATTCATTATCCTCAAGCCACATTTTGACGTTGCTATTGTTTTGCTGATTAACCACGACTGTTTTAATAAGATGGTATATGAGTTAATTGTTTGCTTCATTCATTGTGTGTCTGTAATTTATTTTTGTTTGACTATAAATATTGAGTCACACCTAATCAGAACGACCTGGTTCACCCTCCATCTACGCTGAGCGTCACTTCGTTTCTTTGATTGTCTGTCTGGATGAGTATAAGAAGTATACATATCCAAAATCCATTCTTGTATTTGACTTATTTCATTTCGTTATTCTCTAACACGAACCAAGTCGATAAAAATATACGAGAGTTGGCAGTATGTATTATTTCGATAACAATAACCATACGATTTAATTCGAGCCAGATACAGGGGTCACTAAAAGTTCATACAGTTAGTAATTATTATGATTCACTTCAAACGAATCTAATGCAGTTAAATTAGTTGTAATATCTGCACAGTTAGAAAATACGTGACCCAAACTCTTGAGCAGGTTCCTCTGATTAAAATCTTTACTGAATCTTTTTTTCATCAACTTCATGATAATTTATCAATAGAAATAAAATTACATACGAATATATATCTAGTGACATTTATGTGAATGACTATTTCTCAAAAAATTGTGGTATATATAAGTATTCCATGATTTATATTAAAGGCAAACTACAAATGTTATTGCGGTATTGCTAATAGTAATATTAAGAATTTGTACTTTCAGGTTATTGTTGCTATTCAGAATTGCATTTGGTTAATCTATGTGACAGTAATAAGGGCTCTTCAGTAACATTTATCACTAAAATCATTTGAACTAATTTCTTTAAATATAATACATATACGTGAATTTGTAGGACAAATATTAAAATGTATACAATACGTGGCAAATGGTTTCATCATTGTAGAACTAAGAAACAATCATTAGTTATATTAGAAAACTGAAACTCATCCAGCTGTGAGAATATATCTGTTTATACTTGATTAGTTCATTAAAGTCAAAAGTACTAATCAATGGAATTCAAATCAATGTAATTTATTACCAATAGTTACAGGCATAATTTTTTACAATTTCATAGATGCTTACCAATAAAAAGTCCTACGATATGAACTATCAATATTTTGGCTTTCAATCTTTCTTAATTGATATCCTGCAATATATATGTTTACTTACTAACTTGTGTGTGAATATTTTGTACAACATGAAAGTAATTGAGCTTCAGAACAAGTAGAAACTAGGAAGTAATAAACTGTTTCATTTGTCGGCGTTTAGAACTACCCGATATTGTGAACGCACAAAACGGAATCCATTTTTTTCAGAACTAGGGGCGAGCATGATATCGTAGATCTGTCATGTCGAAAAACAGTGATTCATTTGCCCAATTCCAATCAAGAGACCACCATTTAATATTGCAGGTGGATTATCACACTTCTCAACTAATTAGCTCTATAAGTTATGACTTAGCACTGGGACTTATTGAGATCCATCTTAAAGGATATGGTCATTAGTAACCGTAGTGATTGTATGACGGTTTTATAGAATATGAAACTCAAATATATTGAGACTGAAGTTAACCTCATTGATGACATAGGACGCTGGCAGCACTATATAGCAAGTCAAGTAAGGTCAGAAAATATAAAGATTCGGATTCCGATTGAATCAATGAAAGCTTCATACTTACAGACGATCATGAATTCGGTCCCTTGTGGAATCATGTGTTCCCGAAAAGTTAAAAAATAGAACGAAACAGCAATCTATTTCTCTCTTACTTTCCAGCTGATGAAAATGCTTATATATTTATTACTTTTTAGATTCAGACAGATAAGTCTGAAAATCAAAAAGAAACACCAGATGGGTTGGTTGATCAAGAAGAACAATTACTGCAACAAAATCCAGAATTAGATAAAACAAGCTCATCAATACAATGTGAAGTTGAAACGTGGGAGTCATGCATGAGAAACTTTCTGAATAAATTTCTACGATCAGTTGAGGAATTACAAATTCTGCATAACAGGGTTTATCAATTGAACTGATCAACAAAATACTTAGTTTTTTTAACAGTCGACTGGAAATGTATACATATATTAAAACTCAAACATTTGAATGTAGGTAAATACAATTTCGACATAATAAAATCCATTATATTTTTTACGTAACCATTTTATTAATAAAAACAACATCTTGGATTCAACTAAGCAATGTGAACTTACGTCAGTCAGTAGACCCTAGTTAGTTTGAAGCCCACATTTATTTTGAATAAGTAACTGTGTTGTTCAAAATCGCCCCTAACAATAAAAGACTTTAATTCCAGTCGCTTTTCATCTAAACATAGTCATTAAAGTAACCGTCAATGATACAGTATAGGATTTAAAAAACTGTTCAACTAATAGTTCCACAGAGTCAGCACTTAAATGGCCTCTTTAAAATAACCTTGACCTATTCTCTTTCATCAGTAGTATCTTCGTGATATCAGTCATTCTCTGATTATTCGGTTTGAATCCAAATGAGCAACAATTAACCAATAGATCGAAGACAGAATCTAGAATTTTGGATATATGATAATAAGGTTAATTTTTATTTGCTAAAAATATCCAATGGAGCGCTAGTACCAAGAGGTATGCTCTCCAAAGTTACGTGATGTTATGAAAATAGCATAATGACAGTAATTAAGAGACAATGAAGATATATGCATAAACGAACAAAGTCGATCAATGGAACTTATAACCAAACTTAGCCTAAGCAAATATCGAACCATGGACTGCTGGGTAATAGAACTGCTAATCTACACGATCTCGCTACTATCCATATTTCACTGACCAATTCAATTATCTTCAATACAATGAGTTCACTTACTTATACTTTTAAAATGAGAAACCATTGCAATTCCCACGACGCGAAGAACACCAAGACTGGTACAAGTGAAGATTTATTAAACTCCAAAACACGACGACGACCCTAGTCGAAAATACACTTATTTATACATTGATTGTACATCCATTTGACTATTAATTAGGATGAAATCACGTCATATCAAGTTCGATATTATATATAATGAGGTAGCCAATTAGAGTAACGCCTGACGAAGATCAAATTAAGGATCATATTTTAAACCACTAAACGATATTACCTAGATCACTGAAAACCTGAAAGCATTTTACAGTTGTTTCGTCCTAGTATGGGGCTCAGGTGTGCATCCATGACCCTGCCACTAGGAACCAACTTCAGAACCTTCGGTTTCGCGCGTATACACTGAACCTCTAGATCACTGAGTTGGCATCCAATGGTGTACATGTCAACTTCAATCAATTCGCGATATTGTACGACCGTCTTCCATTACCTGCCGTGAATAACGATATTGTTACTTTATACTGTTTAACTTAATTCTCCCTAGTCATCTAATAATATTGCGTTCGTTCGTCAACTTTTGTTGCATTGATGCACAGATCAAAAGTATTATTCCTATAAAAAAATCACATCCATTCTCTAACTAGTTAATTTGAAAAAACGAAGCACATTAAATCCAATTTTTGAAAATCATAAAGAATTTATTATGGAGATTTATCTAAAAATATTAAAGGAATATGTACAAAGTGTATATCTAATCACAGTATTAGTTAGTATTCAGGAAATTTTGGTTTTAATAAAAATGGATTTTTTGTTTCAGGAGATTGATTAGAATTACTATTTACAAAAACGTTTGACTTAGACTTTACAAGATTTTGGTCATCTTTGTTGTCGGTCATTGACATTTTCATATCACAGTCGTTGGTTACACTAGCAAGTAGAGCTGACAGATATGGACGAGGTGATTCTTTTGGAGTGATCACTGTACATGGTTGATTTTGATTTTATGCCATAAAATAGAAACGAAAAAATATATTATTTATTCTAAAGTTATATCATTATAAAAACACATAAACACGAACATTATATGTATTAATATTGTAGATTATCCAAAAACGCAAATGTAGTTAGATAATGCGAATCCTTAAACCGAATTTTATGGTTCATCCCATCGTTGGTCAACTGTTGTTTACCTTCAAAGATTGCATTACTTACATTTATTTTTCCATTACTGCTATTGCATAAGAAATCGGTGTTTGGAATTAAGTTTAATGAATAATTTGACTGCATATAATTTTACAACCAGATTATGTGTTTCATGTGACAAATCATACAAATCAGAATTGTAATCAATTAGGTAATGAACAACTTCTTGTACCCCACACCATATTTAATTATGAAATACTTCTTTGTTTAATCCACATTTTGGATTTATCAATTTATTGCTGACAGACTGTTTGCTGCATGTTCTTTTGCAATAATTTTGGAGGCGCATGAATAGTTTTAGTGGATTATTATCTGATTTAGAAATCCTAATTAATAAAATAGATTTTCAAAAGTTGGACGACTATGTAACTTCATATACTAGTAGATATATCTTAGAAATAAACTTAGCATATGTTGTGCTACCTTTTTTTATTATACAAGCAACTTCTTGAGTGTGTTATTCTGCTAATTTTTTAATTACTATCAAATTTTCCTCTTTTCATAATTTCATATTTTGTGACATATCGCCTAATTATTTGTTTTTCATTGTTCTGTAAGTAAATATTTCGGTTGACAAACTACCATGGTTAGACTAATGATGACATTTTCCAAATGATGGAGTTTATTTGTATCTCAGGGTGAGAATGTTGGAGATTTTGTGTACTCTGAGTTGAATGGCTTGGTTGCAAAACTTCTACTGTCCTCGTAGACAATATCATTAGCACGTACTTCAAAGAAAAATAGGCTAAACTAACTAGTATCCGGTAGCAAATATGATTTAAAATGTTGCTGAAATACTCCAAAGTGCAATATTATTTCGTTTCAGCTTTTATGTGAATTATGACTGAAAAGTAATATTGTTTTGTTTATTTACATCCCAATGGTAACAATTGTTAATGCTTTCAAAAAACTTGTCATCGTAAGAAAGGTAACTAGAAAAAAATATATATAAATTTGGTTAAAAGAGAAATAGCATACACATGAACGATTCAGCATCACCAGGAAATAGGTATTGAACAGGCTGAACACGACCCAAAAACCGAATTAAGGACTCTTGAACTTTACGACGTTGTTCAACTACACGACGACGTAATGAAGACGGATCAGAAGCAATCGGTGCTCGTTTAACACGTGTATTTAGGAAAGTGTGAGGTTCCGGTAATATAGGAAGTTGTAAATGTGCAGGAGCGGGAGGTGGCAAAGAGTATGACAGCTGATCTGAAATACCTTGAGCTACACCCGTATTTAACAAGGATGTGGATCCCATCCCACCAAAACGTGGATTTCCCGACCAATTAGGACGCAATGACAAGGGTCGAGGAATAATGGTTGTTCCTCCTGGGCCCAAAACTGCAGCACATACCACACCTTTCTTCGGAGAACTTCCGATGCTAGTAGCTGAACGATATGAAAGAACAACCATCAATAAAAATCGTTGAAAATCAAAATATTTATATAAGTAATTATTAAAATCAACGTGCATTAGCGATTAGGAATTTTCTATTCTGAAGAAAAACAAGTCAAAATTGGATAACAAAATAACAGGCATTTTACAAATAATCTTTGATCCAGCTGTGATAAAAGCACTTCAATCAATTAACATAAAGTACCTTTAGCCTTATTCAGTTCGAAATATAGGCAGCAAAATTCATATAAGATACGAAAAAGGGCATCAAACATCAAGACTTAACGATTTTAATTAAGCTAAAGAGAGATGTGACGCATTATAAGTGAGAAAGTTATATCCACATTTGTAGCTATAAACTTCTGCACTATGAATTTCACCAGAAAAAAACGTTCTTATGGTAAGTATCAATCTGCAGTTTATAATGGATAACTGAAAATTATAATATCAATTCAATAGGGAAGGTAAATATTTCTTCAACCATTGATTAAACTAACTAAACGAATAACACAGAAATAAACACCAGATAGATCTCCAAATAAAATAAAATAAATTTCGATCATAACTTTTCAAATATGAACTGCCCCTGCTTATTTTTGACGAACTATTACTGAACTGTTTAATATACACAAATGAGTCGGGTCTTCTTATGTTCGTTGAACTTCAATAATACTACTGATTCGTCTTACTCGGAACGGAACGAAGAATCAAGGATTCAGAGACTCGATAGGCTATACTGGTCCGTTGTCCCCGACTCAGCTAACTCGATCCAGAAGTCTTGGTAAGATGTAGAAAGTGTATTCTACAGACAACCAGAAGATACCAGGTCCATCAAGCACACAAATCAAGCGTATTTATACAAAATATATATAATCGATATTGCCATGGAAGTTTTTAAACATTTAATCGATAAGTTCGTCAATCGACTATGTGCGTGGGTGGTAAGAAATGTCCAAGCATACATCTGCATACAAGCTCCACAAGATAAAGTTACAAAATATGAGTTTTGTGGATCTATCGTCCCCAACACTCCTCCCCTTTATAATAGCGTGCGTTCCTGGGGTCGACCTGCATCTTGACTGTTGCTCGCCGCTGTCGGAGAGGCCACCGTCTGGAGCGCGTTTCTGATTGTTGTTTAGGTTTTCTTGTGGTGGAGCTGCCGGTAAGTTGAATGTGTCTATCAGGATCTCAAGGGGAATATTTGCTTCGGTTGATGGGCGGTCTGGGGCTAGCCGTTTGTGTAACTGGCTCCGATGGCGTTGCCACCTGTCGCTGCCTACCTCAACTTCGTACATGACTCGGCCAACTCTTCTGATCACTCGCGCTTCCGTCCATGGACCATGGGTTGGTCTGTAGTCACGGGCAGACACAGGACATCCCACTTCGTACGTGGATTGCTTTTCAAACCTTGTCCGTTCTGGTGTCGGTGCATTACTTGGATGCACCAGGCTGTGGATCGTCTTCAGTCTTCTTCCCATGAGGATCTCTACTGGGGACTTTCGCTCCGGCAACGTCTCATTTGGTGTTGTTCGGTATACATATAAGAAATTTTGCGACGCGTCCGCTGGCGTCCCCTCCCCTTTTGACTTAGCCAAAGCTCTTTTAAACGTATCCACAAACCTTTCTGCTTGCCCATTCGACTGCGGGTGGTATGTTGGCGACCGAAAGTGCTTTATGGCTAGCCGTTGACAGAATGACTGGAATTGGCTGGAGGTGAACTGTGAACCGTTGTCAGATATAATGGCATCCGGTATACCATTTCGGGAGAAAATTTCTGTGAGGATTTGTATTGTTTTAGTCGTCGTTGGCGGTATTATAGGGTTGATTTCTGGCCATTTCGAAGGGGCGTCGACTAAAACTAGATACATGGTTCTGTTAATCGGGCCTGTAAAGTCGACGTGTATCCTGGACCAAGGATGATCAGGTAATGGCCATGAAACTGGCGGAACTTTGGCGTTCACCTTTGCCACTTGCTGACACCGCATACATTTTCCAACCAATTCTGTTATATGTTGATCCATTAGCGGCCAATATGCATGACTCCTGGCTATGGATTTCATTCGTCTAACCCCCGGATGACCAAGGTGGAACTGTTTTAGCACTTTTGCACGAAGGGATTTTGGCACAACCACTCTTCCTCCGAACATCAAGCAGTCGTTTACAACACATAGCGAACCCCGCCGCTGATACAGCTGCTTCATGTCACCATCAAACTTCTTAGACGGCCAACCGTTGGTGACATAGCTCATAGTCATCTTGATGATGGGGTCGCTCTTAGAAGCATTTTGTACGTCTGTTGCAGATACCGGCAAAGCTCGTATTGCGGTCGTCATATAACATTCGGCGTGATCTTCCGCTAGCAGAGAAGCGATTACCGTGTTTTCCTCAGCCGTCAACTGGTCACTAATGAGTCGTGATAAGGCATCCACCTGACCGAATTGTTGAGTGCGTCGGTACTGGATCTCGAAATCATACCCCAAGAGTGCTAAGGCCCATCTTTGAAGACGATTTGCAGAATGAGCTGGAATGGCAGATTCCGACCCGAATATTGTGAGTAAAGCCTTGTGACCTGTGAGAAGCGTGAATCTCCGACCGTATAGGAACTTGTGGAAACGGCGCACAGCAGACACAAGCGCAAGAGCTTCTTTTTCTATCTGGCTGTATTTTTTTCTGCTGAGGTTAGTGTGCGGGATGCACGCATAACGGCTTTTTCCGACGCATCCGAAAACTGATGTGAGATAACAACGCCTAGGCCATACGCTGAAGCGTCTACCGCTACGATGATCGGCATGGCTGGATCGTCGTGTGTTAACAGCGATTCCGAACTAATAATGGAATTCAGTTTACAAAATGCAGCGTCACACTGTTTAGTCCAGTTCCAAGAGCTGTTCTTCTGCAGTAAGCTATTCAGTGGAGCGCGAATATCATGCGTCGATGGAACGAACTCTGAGTAATAGCTGACAAGTCCCAGGAAGGAACGTAGTGCCGAGACATTAGTGGGAGTGGGCATCAGTTTGATAGGTCGGATATTCTCAGGATCCGGTCTGCGGCCGTCGGCATCGAAAACGAACCCCAAGTACTTTACCGACTGCAAATAAAACTGGCATTTCTCTGAGCGTTACCGGAACCCGTTGTCACTGATACGTTGCAATACCAATGTCGTCCGTTCTCGTAGCTGTTCTAATGTCGTCGCTACAATTAAAATGTCATCCAGATAAGCCGCGACACCCGAGATACCTGATACGATGGTATCCATTAATTGCTGGGAAATAGATGGGGTAGTTTTGACCCCGAAAGGTAGATGGTTATACTGGAACAAACCACGATGGGTATTGATAGTTAGCAGCTCTCTTGATGCTTCATCTACTTCCACTTGCAAATAAGCATCAGCTAGATCCAGTTTAGCGAAAAACCTTCCCCCATTCAGCATGGTAAATAGGTTTGCGGGAACAGGCAGGGGATAATGATATTGTTCCAGAGCTGCATTGAGACCTGTTGAAAAGTCAGCACATATACGTATCGTGCCGTTGGCTTTCTTGATAACAACTATAGGTACTGTCCATGCAGAGTAGGAGCGGGAGTAATAACTCCTTATTGTTGAAGGCGATTCAATTCTTCATCTACTGTTTGTAATGTTGCATAAGGCACAGGTCTCTTTGGATGAAAAGCAGGCTTAGCCCCAGTTTTCAATCGATGTGTTGCTTTAATGGCAGAGCACCGACCCAATCCAGGTTGGAAAATAGTTGAAAACTGCGTCATTCAGTTCCTCGTATATGCTTCCACGTCATGTGGTTGTTGTCGTAGTTGAGGTTGTGATACCAGGTTGCATATGGTATTCAACGGAACATCAGCTAAATTTTACTGATCGAACCAGTCTAAACCGAGTAAGTTGAGATCAGCTGGCGTTATGTAACATACCCTAACAAACGCCGAATCACGGAAAGTAACCGTACCTTCCATTTGTCCTAGCAGGTGAAGGTAATTACCACATGCAGTACGAGGCTTTCGCATTGTACGCTGCAAGTTTGGGCTGCCCATTTTGGTTCAAATCTTACGTGAGAGGATAGTGACATCTGAAGCAGTATCTATCTGCAATCTAGATGAATGCCCATTAATATTAATAGTAATAAATTTTCTCTCACCTGGTGATGAGCTTTGACACGAAGATACCAAGCTCAATGAATTTTTGCGCGATGTAGGAAGGGTCTTTTTGGTATTTCTGGATTGACTTGAATTCTTCTTCCTCAGACAAAACCCATCCTTATGACCGATAACCTTACACTTCTTGCATCTATGTTGCTTAAATGGGCAGTTTCGAACGTAGTGCCATGCACCACATTGCCAGCAAGGAGTAGGGGAACTTGCTTTAGTCTGTCGTCCCGAGCTGGAGTGGGATGAACTTGATGAGGCAGGGACCTATTTGTTTTTGTAAGGTGTCTGTTGCATCGCTCGTACTTCAGATCGGCTAGACCCACCACTTTGGACCATAGAAGTGTCTCGTTGCAGATTAATGAGACGTTGATATTCATTAGCTATATCACTCAGGGTGGTTTTCGGCTCTTGATCCAACCGACTCAGTAGCCTTGTTCGTAAGTCACTAAACTTTTGGTGCTGCAGGCTGCAAATGAGGATCAGGGCTTTAAACTGATCTTCAGTCAAGGACTTTAGCCGGAAGCGTTCGCATTCACGGTTGACGACGCCCACATGCGTAAGAAAATTATCATCTTTGTTCATAGTTAGCATCAAGCATCGATAACGAGTATTAAACAGTGACGAGTTATCGCCAAAATGTTGGCTTAATGTCTGAACTGTGTTTGCAAATGATCGGTCACGTGGGTTCAAAGGCAGGATCAGATTGCAATACTTGTCCAGCTCAGTTGCACCCAATTTACGAAGTAGCAGCCGCACTTTCCAAGCATCATCTTGATTGGCGAAATCAAATTTAAATAGATCTTCATAACGCCTGAACCACATCTCAAAAGTAACATTAGCA